TTTACCGAAACATCCAGAACTAGTATGCAGTTGTTCAACATGACAGAATGTTTAAAAATGTTAATATCTGTGTACAAGCAGTAATATTTCAAATACCCAATAACAGTCAAAAAATTAAGGAAACAAAATGGTGTTGACCAGTGTAATAGAACGGATACAACATTATCAAAATATATTATAAGACTTCAATTGTATATATAGAAAACCCCAAAAATGTAAATGAATGGTCAAAGACCATAAACCGGATGGACGGTTACTGCTTTACCTAAACATTCAGAACTAGTATGCAGTTGTTCAACATGATAGAATGTTTAAAAATAAGTTAACATCTGCGTACAAGCAGTAACACTCCAAAAGGTATGTTCTTTGACTATTAATTATATTTATATTTTACAAACAAATGTGTAACACCTAACTAGTAGAACTATAAGTAAAAAAACAAAACTTTTTCAGTCTGAAGATGGTCAAATAAACCGAAACGTTACAAAAACATATAGTTGTGTAATTATTTGACCGTCACCCTGGAAAAAACTACATAATTCAGATATAATTAATTTAATTTTAAGTAAATAACGTGCAGGATACAGTGTTAAAGTAATGCTGAACTCTTTTCTCTGTTAATATCTAATAAATATACCAGATATGTATAATATAGCATGTATGCTCACCTTAATTAACTATAAGAGCCTCCAAGATGAAAAGTTAACAGCTAAAACACCACAGGAGACGACTTATCTTTTCAGTGAGCAAAGGATACCAGTTCCAATCTCTCTCAATTGTTGGCCAATCTGTGTAAACGGACAAAAACAATTATTAACTAATTTATTTAATAGATATCTGTTACGCAGAAAATTTAAATATTTAATCCTTTAACCTTTAATTCGATAAAAAAATCATCAAAATCTGTTCACAATCAGCAATGAAATCGCAGGATATACACATAAAAAACCAATACAGTTGAATTGAGAACGAATTAAATAAGTTATACGTAAAACCACGATTAAAAGTACAAGAAAAACAATTACAAATGATATTAAGTTCGGCTAATTGATTAAACTGTTTGTGAATAATAACTATACATTACTTTTATTTCTAATTTTTTATGTATTATCAGGGTTTGACCCGTAACTTGATTGATTAATAAATGCAAAATATAACGTATTTTACTGTAGCTATAGTTTGATCATTTTAAGCAAATTAATATGTTTTATATGCTTTAATTTATACGTAATGAAACCGGAAGATTTCTTACGTAAATCCTAAATAAACATTACTTCAAGTTACTTTACGTCAACCAACTCATCTGATTTAGGGATCTCAAACTGCATATTATGACAAGAATGTTAAATTTCTTCGAATTTCATACTTTGACAACGTAAATACACGGTTAAATAAAAAGAACACGACCAACAAAACAAAAATAGTCTAAACAATTATAAAAGCATTGATATTTACTTAACTTCACGATAATGTTAGCTTGTGGGCTTATCGCATTCCTATGGCATAATAAAATTCGACCAAACGGGCAAGAATTTGAATTTTTTAAACATTAAACGAATGAAATTAAGAAATTAGCTAATTGCAGTACAACATATTTCAGAAGTACCTTATTGTTTTTTATAAAATAAATGCATACCATCAAAATTTTCCTAGTATATTAATAAGTAGTTTCTTTAGTTTATAGCTAAAACTTCATTCCTATTCATTGTCATTCAATTTAAAAACACGGATATTTTTATACAATACAATGCTTTTTGAAAATGTAGACTTTAGAAAAAAGGGGTACATTACTTTTCTTCTTAATCAATCGCTATTTTTGATTAAGAAGCATATATCTCCGTTTTACTATTACTTTACTACATTTTTATACACGCACCACAATTTTTCCAAATAAAACTAACAGGTTTTCTCCGCATCTTACTTTCTCAGAAATCGCATAAAAAATTGTAATTAAAGGACACAAGGAAAAATGCTCACCCTAGAGAAATTTACGAAACAAACTCAAAAATTCATTCAATCTTAAGCGCCGTAAAATCGTAATTAAATTTATAGAAATAAAATCCAAAAAGGTACCATAATTTGAATTTAAAATACATATGGTTTTTGATACTGCTCGTCTTTGATATAGGCAACCCACTTCACTGCAAAGTATTCTGGGCATAAGGCTGCAGTAAAAGTTCTGAATTCCTTTACTTATTAAATACTAAGACTTTCAAAATCATAATTTAAAATATTAATAATGAAGAAGTAAAAAAGTTTTTAAATTGGGGGTTAAAAGTGTAAATCGATGTTCTATATGAATTTTTGTGACAAAATTTGCAAAACCTAGTGGAGCTATAAACGCCAACCAGGCCTTTTTAGAAAAAACTTGCATAAACTAAAGTTTGCAATTACCTACAACTTCAACTAAATAATGGACAATCTAACGATATTTTACAAAGAAGTACCATACGCTCGTCACCCTATGCTTAATGTTAACCAAACTGACAACATTAATAAAGGGTATTTTATTTTAATTTAACTACGTATTATTACCTGAATTAGTTGTAGAAAGTAACGGCCATGATTTACATGTGTGGAAAGCAAACCAAATTAAGAAAGGATACTAGTGCATACATCCAATGACTTCATNTATCTGTTACGCCAAAAATTTAAATATTTAATCCTTTTCACTTTTCTTCCTTTCTCTCAAATGAAAGTCAAAATATATGCGGGAAATTAAAAAAAATATATACACTTATTAAATTAATGAAACACAAAGTAAGACAAAAACACGTAATGAAAAACCACCTGGCGTCTGTTTCAAGACAAACTTAACAATTTTGTTAATTTAATTTATTCTGTGGGCAATTGCAAAAACTAATAATATAATATGAATCAATCAATATAACCTTACAGGCGTAGAAAACAATAAAAGTAATTCTACGAAAAATTAGCCCGGCAAGTTGAATTTAAGAGACGGGAAAAAACATCCTTCCACTACGAAATTATGAACTTATAATGTGGTATAATAAAATTCGACCAAAAGGGCAAGAAATTGATTTTTTTAAACATTAAACGAATCAAATTATGAAACTAGGTAATTTACAATATAACATTGAAGAAGTACATTATTGTTATTTATAAAAAAAATTGTTCACATTTAAAGTTTATTTAGTGTATTAACAAACAGATTCGTATTATTAATGGCCTTGATGAAGAGTAACTTAATTTAAATTTGAATTCATTTGATCGTTCGATTTTAGTTACTCAAAATGTGAAGCATTTATTAAATCAACAGGTAACCGTATAAAATTTGCAGTTATTTTGTACTTTTATGTACCATGTTATCTTTTGGTTTTCTTTAAATACCTAACGATAAATGAAATTAATTGACTACTTTTTCTCACAACAGCATCTTTATAGGGTTTACAGGCCCGATTGTTGGACTAGATGTAGAAGTTGACCTTAAAAAAGCTGGGAAAACCTAAAAACGTCTGTCGAGGAAAACACTCCTAAATAAGGAAATTTTACAACTATAAAAACATTCAATATACCTACTATTCTTGAAATTGTTGTTATAGACTATTACTCATATCCACAAAAAAAAACAGAATGTAATATTCGTCTTATACAGGAACGTAACGAAGTTTTACTTATAAAACCGTTGTGAAAAAATTGATAAGCGCCTTTCGTTGGCATAAGAGTGGGAAATTTTCATTTTCATTTGCATGTTGTTTTTTTTAAAAGAATTATATAATTAAAACTTCGTTTATTTTTATTGGCACGTAATTTGAAAACACGGATTTTTTAAAAATACCATACTTTTTGAAAATGCAGAAATAAATTGTAGACTTCCGATTCCTACGAAATAAATAACTGTTAACAAATTACTCAATCAAAGAAGATTAAAAATTCGTCGCATTGTTCTTATCGTTGTTACTATATGCTTACTAAAAAAAAGGGAGTACATTACTTTTATTCTTAATCAATCGCTATTTTCGATTAAGAAGCATCTATCTTCTTGACTATTATTGCTTTATTACATTTTTATACTCTCATCACAATATTCCCAAGTAAAGCTAACAGTTTCTTGTCTGCATATATAATTATAATCCTCTTTCCCTATCAGAAAACCTATATACGAGGGTGGATTGATAAGTTTCCGGCCTGACCAAGAAAAACAAGGTTTTTAAAAATTTTTTTTTTTTATTTCTCAACATAATCTCCTCCAAGGCTGATACATTTCTCATAGCGGTGTTCCAGTCTATTAATGCCATCTCTATAGACTGATTCGTCAAGCTCCTCAAAATAACCATTTACAGCTTCGATTACTTCTTCATTGTCCGCAAATCTCTNCATTTAATTTCGCGCGAAGGTATCATAATTTGAATTTGGCGACTGTTTGTTCTTGATATAGGCAACCCACTTCACTGCAAAGTATTCTGAGAGTCAGGGTGCAGTACTTTTCAAAACCAGGGTTTAAGATATTAACAATCAAAAAATAAAAACATTTTTAAATTGGAAGTTGGAAGTGCAAATCGGTGTTCTCTATGAATTTTTGTGGCAAAATTAGCAAAATGTAGTGGAGCTATAAACGCCAACCAGGCTTTTTTTAGAAAAAATTTGGTAGACTGAAGTTCGCAATTACCTACAACCCCAACAAAATAATGGATAATCTAACGGTATTTATACAAGGAAGCAACATATGCAAGTCCTCCTATGCATTATGTTCCAGGACGTCTTTTGTTAACCAAATTGGCAACAGATTAATAAAGTGTAATTAATACTAATTTAAATATGTATTATTACCTGAATTAGCTGTAGAATGTAACGTTCCAACGTTTACATGTGTGGAATGTAAACCAAATTCAGAAAGGATACCAGTGCAGACATCCCATATCGTCATCGTTACGGTTAAACTTAACATCCCAATCTCTCTTATTTGTTAGCCCATCTGTAGAAACGGACAAAAAAATTATTAAATACTTTTAATCAATAATATTTTAAAGGTGACTATTAAAATAGTATACATACAATGTACCATTCATTATTAAGCATATTAAACATCTGCTATGATATTTAGCCCTTATCATTTTACTTCTGATTTTAAAATTAAAGTCAAAATATAAGTATAGATAGTTCATATTAACATTCACATTGCCAGAAACGACAATTTCACTAATTCTGCTATTCTACTTTTGAAATTTCTAAAACGTTGTTTCAAATCTCTCTATTCAAAGTAAGTTATAAATGTTTAAGAAATTGAGGATTCTAGGACACATCTACTATTTTTAATTGTTGCTTACTAATTCATATCATAAATCCTTCCTTTAACAGTAACACATTGTCTTCATTCACAATGGAAAAAAAAAGACATCATCATGCTTTCATCGGGAATGTAGGTACTGCTACTTTTTTGAGTGAAAGAGAAACCAATGTTTCATCAAACATGTCATCCCAAGCTTTATGCTCCTGTAAAATAGAATATTATTAAAGAGTATTCATATATTATTAATTAAGCCTAATTTAAGAATCATTTGCTTGGTAACGGCAGAAAAAAATGTATTTCTGCGTTTATCTTTGAAAAAAAAAGGACAAGCGAAAGCCAAAAATAATAATTTTGTAAAGGGTAATGAATGAAACCAGTAATTTTGTTGCCAAAAAACTTCGTAACATAATCAATGATAATCGTAAAAATAATTCAACGCCCGATAATAAAAAACCGTACAATAGATAATTGTGATAGTAATCTTGTATGCACTAGTACTTTACCAATTTTTTTTAACCAAAAATACACACAAAATATCACTAGCAAAACACACAAAGCGTTGAAGCAGCATCAAACCAGTGAGCGAGAAAGAACACGCCATCGACAATATTAAAATATTTGTTAATCTTATCCAAGGTACTAATACATATTATATTTAGTATGTACTACTTTTTGCGCTAATACATTGGTAAAATTTAAATGCACCCACTGTAACTAATTATCACGATAATTAGATAAAACGAGACAACTGCAACTGGCAACGAGATTATATGTGAGCGTAACCGAAGATGACACTTTTCTAAAGTGGCGCGAAATATTTAAAATTCAGAAGATAAAAACATTTCTTGAATTGTGAAATATAAAAAAGGTATAACTTTTTTAATTTTTTCCAGACTAGTTTTTTAAATAATTTAAACTCATTTTTGAAAAAAACATCCAAATGTGCTTTTATTTAGTTTTATCAAATATTAATTAATTCAAAAAATTATTTGAAAAAAAAAAACAAAAATATATGCACTTGCATTTCATAATTCCAAAAATATTTATAACTTTTGAATTTTAATTACTTCACACGCCCTTAAAAGGTTCAGGAAGAGAATTTTTTAGAATTCAGATTAATAAATTCTATTCCTAAAACATTTAAATATTTTTTATTTATTGTTACCAAATTGTTTAAACAATGTTTCATAAGTCGTTAAACAACACATCCATTCAACGGTCAACCTATACAAATGAACAAAAAATTTAATTAGCTAAAGATATTAAAATAAGTGCAAAAAAACAAAGGAATTTAACGTAGAAGAAAAACATCTCATATGCAACCATACATACACCAGTATAAAATCGATTGCATACTGATAAGTACTCCAAAACTGTAATATCTAAAACCAGTTTTGGCACCCATAAAATGAATAATATTATTTATATCTCTTAAATTGGCAACACAATGAAATAGGAAAACATTAAAAAAATTAATGCTTTTTAACAAGAAAATGCGTTACATCTAAAATTATCAATTATTCACGCTCTGCCCTTTATTACAAAGCGAAAACGTGTCTATAATAAATACCCTAAAATACTTATGTATTTCCAAAATTCTCATAAAAGCTTCTTTTCTATTCTCCTAAACGTTTCTTATTGCACAACAAAAAAAAAATATTAAAATAATCAATTTTATGATTATTTGGGTCTGCCAGACAAAACGAAAAAATGTTACGACTAACATTAACACTTATACGTTTTTAGTAGAGCAAAAAAGAAGAAAAATTAAAAATTTAACAGCACACAAATATACTATTGATCCTGACTTTTAATTAGTTTATTCCAATGTTCACATGAATATAAAACGTGCTAATAAATTACCTCAAATATGCATTAGAGTTTGATTCTCTTTTTTAGTGAACAATGCTTTTACAATAACAAAGAAAGTGTTTCGAAATAAAATTAGTAATCATTACGCAGAATAATCATCACTTTGCCAAGCCTTTTCATTTTATCTTATAAATTAAAAGTTTGTCACTTACCCTTGTTGTTTTTTATTTCATTGAATAAAAGGATACTACTCCATACTGGGATGAAATACAGACTGCTACTGTCACAGAACAATTACACATGATGTCCAAAGTTTGTGCAATTTTCCTGTTAAACAATCAAAACAATATTTAAATATACAATGAGCTTAGTTAAATAATGTGGTAACAGAATGTTAAAAAATAATTGAATAAATAAGTCCCTTTGTATAGTTTTTAAGCTATTTTAAGTTTCTTAATTACACCACGTCAGTGTACGGGCATGTGTAGTGCCTCCTTGCTGGCAACTTACTTCACTTTCTTATAATTTTAACCATGAATCTCGCTATAATTTTGTATAAATGTATGATTTATTTTTATTATTTTTCTGTATTATTTTGTGGTGATGAATAAATTAAAATAAGTCCCTTTGTGGTGATTTGGATATATAGTTGTCTTTTTAATATATAGTTATCATTTCATCAAACTGTTGAATTTTAAATTAAAAATGCACAATAAGATTGTACAATTATAAATAATAAAATGCGAATGTATACTAAATTGACTATTAATTAGCATATATTCGAACTGCAAATATAAATTCTTGATTAACAAATATACACATGCATAAATAAAATACTTAAAACCAGAAATTCCACATACTGTATCTAATTGTAATATATGTTACATTTAACTTGTTTTAAAAAGCTTGGTGCCCGTCAGCGAAATAAATAAATACTAAATAAAGGTGTTTTTTGTGGGATTTAAGTATTTAGTTTTTTATTTCCTCTGTTCTGCAAAGCATCTTTTGATTTTATACCGATAATAAAGAATTATTCGTATTTCTGATATAGTATGAACTTTTTTTTTTTATTATTCTATATATATCAGCAAGTGAAATAAATTTTAAGTGCTCTCACCCCATACACAGGTCAAACTGAGCTGACCAGTAAAACAAAAACAGATTAACTAGATACAATAACAAATAAAAACTTTGCAAATCAGTTCAAGTAATTAATTGCAATAATGGTTCATTCTTTAATTTAAAGAGTTACCTAATGATTCCATTTGTTTGTGTCCATACTGGTCACAGTCCTACTTTGCACCATACAATCGTTCCTACCATTAATGTTCACTCTGGATGCTATGCTTATTATAAACATGGGCAGAAAGAAGCCCCAAAACAGCACTAATTGCTTGATATAGTGTAAGCACCTTTTTCTGAAAAAAAATACAAAATATCAAGCCACGTTATAATACCGTAAAGTTGTATATACTTGATAAACTAAACCAAATTAAGTAATTAAGTATTTTTACCACGAAAAATGTTTCACACAAAAGATCAAAACTCAAAATTACAGAAATCGGTTATATCATTGACGTTTTATAGAAATAGGCTGGGCTTGTAAGCCATTAAAAATATTAAGGACCATAGATAATAGATCTACAAAGGGATTAAGGACGTAGAGCCTTTATCACAAATTTGACGAAGTTTCATTTATAATTCCAGCATTTGTGACGTTGTAAACGTCACATGTGAGAAAAACTAATGAACACAAATTATATATATTATATTATAACTNGGCTAAGATCAAAATTAAACTTTAACAACTTCTGCCTGTGTCATGTGGAGGAATTTGCAAGAATATTTTTGCGTCAGATTCATTTAGTAAAACATTTTAATTATTATTAACTATTACAATCTGTTATCTATGATTACAATCATAAGGATCAATGATCATAAGCATATATTAGGAAATGCGCATCCTTCGTTATGTTTGCACGAATGTGGACCTGAAGAAAAGCTCTTTCATAGAAAACTATGTAAATAAATTAAAGTGTAACTGTTTACCTGTTCATAAAATAGGAAAATTTAAGTGAAATAATTGCATATTTTGTAAAATCGACAACTTCGTTGCTTATTGTTTTATGCAATTTTCTATGAGTGTTGAGGGCATAGATAAGATTTGTGCACATAATTCTTGACTATAGATAAAATTCTTGACATTTCTTTTCAGGTTATATTTTCATTTAATCTATAAATATTTATTAGAATTTAACACAATATGTGAATGTGAATTTCCTTTCCCCACAATTGTTTAAGCTGTGCATATGTTAATATATTTCACAATGTTGTTATGCAATTTTTAATTGTATTAAAGAATGTATGTAAATACAAATTCTGTATTGTATCGTTGTGCTTGATAACTTTAAATAAGTATTGAAAATGTAGCAGAAATCAAGAAATAGGTTAATATTAAGGGTGTAATCATTATTGAATTGATAAATTTATGTAGTTATTGAACGAAATGATATAAACTTGTAATACGATGGACCCATTGGTTAGCTTTTTCGATCCAGATGATTGCAGTCCAAACTGCGTGCAACAAACAAACTTACATAATATAAATCAGAATGTATTACCTCCTGAACCACAAGTAGGAAATATAGAATATAAACTTAAGATAATAAACCCATCAAAGCAAAGATTTGAACACCTGGTTACACAGGTAAAGGGCTTTGATTAGTTGCAAGTTTTGTTGAGTAAACTTTCTACACTTGTTATAGATGAAATGGAGGCTAAGAGAAGGTCAAGGAGAAGCAATTTATGAAATTGGTGTTGAAGACACAGGCGCTCTTACAGGACTGTCGTGTAATGACATGACTGCTAGCCTGCAGACATTGAAACAAATGGCATTAAAGTTGGGAGCTACAACAACAATTCTTAGGGATAGAGTTTTAGAAAATAATAAAATTGTAACAGAAGTCCTTGTTAGAAAGGTAAAATATTTATTACTATGCTATTATTTTTAGTTTGCTACATGTATTTATTAATTTTGGAAAAATCCTAACTGAAATAATTTATTCTTATGCTAATAAATGAATTTGGTCAACAACCTTATTATTTAACAGGTGCCAGATGATCAAAATAATATTGAAATTAGAGTTGCAGTTCTTGGTAATGCAGATGCTGGAAAATCAACACTTCTAGGAGTTTTGACTCAGGGTCACCTGGATAATGGAAATGGCAGGGCTAGATTAAATATGTTTCGGCATTTACATGAAGTTCAAAGTGGTAGAACTTCATCAATTTCTCATGAAATACTTGGCTTTAATTCTCAGGTATAAATAAAATCAATTTAATACATTGACTACAATATTATTCATGTTTTGCAACAGGGTCAAGAAATAAATTACAGCTATAGTGATCTTATGACAGCAGAAGACATCTGTGAAGAATCAAATAAATTAATTACGTTTTTAGACTTGGCTGGTCATAAGAAATACATTCGTACTACAATTCAAGGGCTCTCTGGCTATTTACCTCATCATGCTATGTTAGTGGTAAGTAACAACATACATATGCAATATTTATAAAGGAAATCAGAAAGGTTTCTCATTAGATATCAAGTTCTGCAGGAGCTGTAGGAATGACTCAGGAGCATTTAAGTATAGCAGTTGCACTTAAAGTTCCTTTTTTTATTGTTATAACTAAAACTGACTTGGTAAGTCCTAGAAGTACTTTGCAAAGTTTGGAATCATTTTTAAAACAAGTGGGTTGTCAAAAAGTACCCTTGATTGTTAAGAACATTGATGATGCTATAACTGCGGGAGCAAACCAACTGAAGGACAATGTGGTGCCAATTTTCTGTGTGTCTAGTGTTACAGGGGAAGGACTGAAATTACTGCTAAAATTTTTGTTTGTTCTACCCCCCGGTTTAGGCATAAATGAAAGAGAAAGGCTGGAACAAGTAAATCAAGTCGTTACAGCATCTAAATTTATTGTATATGTAATAATAAACTTTTAGGAACTCCCCGAGTTTCAGATAGATGAAAATTTTCGGGCAGGTGATGTTGGTCAAATAGTGGGAGGATTATTAACAAAAGGAGCAATAACAGAAGGAATGCATTTAAACATTGGCCCACATAAAGATGGATCATTTACCACTGTTACCGTACAATCAATACATCGCAATAAGGTGCCTTGTCGAATGGTTAGAGCAGGTCAAAGTGCAGCTATTTGTCTAAATAGACAAATAGATGATCTTAGAAACGGCATGTTTCTTTTAAGTACTGAAGACAAAGCAGCTGTAGGCTGCTTTTATTTTCAAGCTAATATATGTGTTCTATTTCACTCCACTGCAATTTATTGTGGTTTCCAAACAACAGTATTTATAGGAAACATTAGACAAACTGCTATTATTGTCGGCATTTTTTCTTCCGACTGTATACATACAAATGAAAGAGATTCTGTTTTATTTAAATTTACTAGACTTCCAGAACATGTTCGAATTGGACAGCGTTTGCTTTTCAGGGAAGGAAGAACAAAAGGAATCGGAGAAATCACACAAGTGTTTCCGTGTAGCTGAATACAAAAGATTTTGTATCCTTATAGTTTAAAAATAACATATCAATAGCATACCGCTACTATTATGTTGTAGATCACGGGATAAAAAGTAATTTATAGGTATTAAGAGAAAGCACTTGTGATTTAAATTACTCTTAAAATTTATGTTAAAAACCCAAAACGCAACACATTAAAATAACAGTTCAGTTGATAATATAGATCCTTCTGTTCCATATATTTATCATAAGTTTTTGTTTGTATTTATAAGGATGATTGTTATGATATTCGCGATTTAACTATTTTTTTATGTGTGTTTTAATCATTAACTTTTAATAGATGTTTCAATAAATTATGGACGTTTGTTTTGTATACATAAAAATAAAACCATGAAATATTACGTTTGTGTTTAAAAAAGGGGCTTTAGTGGTAACTACATAAAAAAAAAAGAAAGATAATTAAAATACATTTATGGGTTCGATTAAAAATTATTTACAGAAAGATTCTACATATATGTTTAATATTATTCACCATCGCTGTCACTGTACACTGCACTTTTGACATGTTTTTCCATACCTCTAATATTTTCTATCACATCAAAATCAATACGTTCTTTACGTTTTGGTATTAAAAAATATATAATTACAATAAGTAGTCCACTTAATATTATCCACAATAAAATATATACTCTGAAATACCATTTCTGAGCGGTAATGTTTCCTATTATACGTGATGAGTAACAATAAGACTCCCAGTTACTAATATTGACTAAAGTTGCATCAGGGAAGCATTGTACGCATTGATAATCGTTTGAACCCACACACATTTTACATGTATAATGACAAGGTAAACAAACACGGCCTCTTTCACTTACCTTTTCATAATTTTTATTTGCCCCATTACTCATTTCTAATGCGCTTGAATAAAATTGATTCGGACATCTCTCCAAACATTTTCCCTTATGTAACACATATTCTAACGAACACTCTGAAAAGAAATGAAAACAGAACATTTGTAGTAATCATACATATTCCATTTAAAAAACATTGCCAAAAAATAAATCAACAAACTGACCTTGGAAAAGTTTTTTAAATTATAAAAAAAGACGTCCTACATCAAATCAAACCAAATAAAAAATTCTAACTACAACGATAAATTAAATAGAGTCCATAAAACGAAAACATGTTCATTGAGATTTTAATTTTAGTGCATAAAAACATGGAAGCAAAAATTTATTCATTAAAGGAATGCTCAACAAAATTATGTTTAATTTGATGCAGATTTCATCAGGATATACAAAAATAAATTGTGACTGAAATTTATACGACAGGTGTTCTAATACAAAAGCAAGCAAACGAAAATTAAACTTAATAGATGATAAGTGATAACATACACCACCACACCAACTAACAACTTACCTAGTGTTCTTTCTTGCAGAAATGTTATCCATATCTGAAACACTGTCTATAATTTCATATTAAGTATTAAAGTGATTATTAGAAAAGAGAAATCATGAGAAAATTCAGCCACAATTTATTTTTAATTTTGATACAAACATTTTCCATGTATATGTACAGTCTTGCAAATGTTCAAATTTATGATCCAAGTTTAGGTAAGTCGTCTATTGTCATACAGGGCAGAAGTATCTACCTTTTCATATATTTTTGAATGAATGGATATAGTGAACACATAATTGCGAAAAACTATATTTTTCAATTAAAACTTTTATGTTTGTTATACATCATAGAATACTTCTGTCCATTTAGATTACTTGGTTCTTTTTTTGTCAAAACTATAAACAATTTGCTGCGACTACAAAGACTACTCAAAAATGATCTGGAATCAACACTACATATTGGCAAAAGTTCTCAGAATCGATGAATTCAAACTTAGCTATAATTTCAGTAAATAGTTAAAGCCATTCGGTATTATGTAGGTACTACTTTCTTTTCTAGGAACTAAAAGTTTGTGGTATGCTTAAAGTAAGTAACATTTCTACATACAACAATATTTAAATAAATCACAGCAAATTTACACCTATAAAGAACAAGATTATGTATCTTTATCGGTGCGTAAACTATTAACTATTTTTAAGAGCCATTTTAACATACTTTAAATAAAGTAGGTTACCGATTACAATATATATAAAAATTAATCGAAATGAATTTTTGTGGCAA